GGCCATACACTTTTATTATTTCTGTGAATTGGCTTAAATTTGAACTGTAGCTGGCTCGATGGACGGATTGGAAAATCCAGGCAGCCTGGTGGAAAATTGTTGGTCAGTGACTGCAACTAGTTGGCTGAGGTCACTGTTGGGGTATTCTGATGGGCAGCATGGGACAATAGCTGGCACAGGAGATTCCTCCGTCAATGCCCTTTAGGGCCAATTCATACCACATCGAGATCACCAGACCAGATTGTTTGCGGACCCAAAATGCATCCTAATGTATCCCTATGCCATTTCTGTCCTCTGTTCACACCAGCGCAGTGCATTCCATACCAGAAAAATACTGCATGTCTCATTTTGTCTGGCCTGGAATGCCCTGGAACTGTGGGCAGATCTGGTCCGCAAAATGGATGTGTGGATGAATCGAGTGGTTTTCTCAAATAAGAATATATGTATATGGCCTGCGTTAGAAGATACCAGTAGCTGATAACGCCACATAAATGCTAGCTTCTAGCTCTGCTGGTTTGTGTTTGTAGGGCACAGCTACATAGGGAACTGTCCAGCTGGTCTGAGACTAGTGAGATAGCTGCACTCTGCAAAACCTGCTCTTCCATTCTTATCTTTCCAGCTTTTGTGTAACAGTTGCTGAGCTCTGCTTCTGCCTCTGTGCTGGTTTTGCAAACTCTAGCATATTAAATCATGTTGGTCAGTTTGGTGTCGATATATAATACCATTTTGTTTTTCTTGATGAGAGCTAGTAGGTTTGTTGTAAAATATTTAAGAATATGAACTGGTTATAAGTGGCTGTTTCCTGCACTGTGAGCACTTACACACCCCTGTTTTGTAGTCCACTGTATGCTTAGTAAAAGGTTAGTGCAGCCGGGATGTATCCTGACCTGTTGCTGAGCATTTTCCTCTTACTCCACCTTTTGTAAGTTAGGCTTGCACTTACCCTAGAACTCATTGTCCTACAGATCTGCATAGTAATATTCAGTGCTTGAAAAATTTGATAGTGTCTCACCAGTCAGTCAAAAATTTCACCAGTCAGCATGACCGGACTATAGCCTTGCAATTTATGTTAAAAAAGTTTGGGGACAGATAGAGCTTTCTTTTGGAGGTATATAATCTCCACGGGGGTATTTTTTTTTTTACTATATAATTAAAAAAAGACCATAAAAGTAAAAAAAAAAAAAAAAAGTTTCCCTACGTTATGTTATAAAACATTTCAGGGTCACGTCGGGTAAATAGACACCAAACATTATGGGAGAAAAGAAGAGAGAAGGGCGCCCACCCTAGTGTAGATGGTTTTTAATAACGTGAGCTAAAGTGCAAGGTAAAAACATACTCACAATGAGTATCAGTAAAATCATATGAAATGAGCCAGAACGATATCTGAATATCAGCTGCACAGATGCCTGTGTATCAACACAGGACTCCTTTTGATAAAATAAAATAAAATAGACACCAAACATGTCAAGCCTTAAAATTGCGTGCGCCCGCAAAAATCGCAAAAAACGCCCATAGGCGACGATTAAAACGCTTTTTCTGTTCATCAGTTTAGTGTTATCAGTGATTAAAGGAGAACTATGGGGTGAGGGCTTTTCCCCATAGTTTTAGGGTAACGGCAGGGCACCTTAGGGTAACGGCTACCTCATAGTTCTCCTTTAGGCTGGGTTCCCACCTAGGCGTTCAAAATATGCACGTATGACGCGCGTTTTGCTGTGCATGTTTTAACCGCGTCAAACGCTCGTTTACGAGGGCTATCCGGCTGTATCCTAATGGATATGCGCGGAAATACGCCCCAAAGAAGCTCCTGTACTTCTTTGGGCATAGGGCGTTTTTCAGCACATTCCGACACGCTGAAATACGCCCAAGTGAGAACCATGCCCATAGGAAATAATGGGATTTCACTTGCAGGGCGTTTTACAGCGCGTCGATCAGCGCTGTAAAACGCCCAGGTGTGAACCCAGCCTTAATGGCTCTAAAATTATTGCTCTCACTCCGTTTGCGGCAATATGCAACATGTGCGGCACGTAGGCGCACCTGACGCATATATGCGTGTGTATGTGGGGGGCGCGGACTTAAAAAAAAGTTTACAAAAATAAATGTTATGCTTTTTTTTAATCAAGTCAGCTTCTGATACAAGCGATCGAGCGTCTCTTGAGACGCTCGATCGCTTGACTGTAAAGCTCCCGGCCGGCGGTGTAATTACAACGGCCGGCCCGGGAAGCTGCTCGCCGGGCTCCACTGTCTGCTCGTCACAGACGAGTGGATTTTCGAGCCCTGGTAATATTATTAGTTTGTGTACACAACCCCTATGAAAATGGAGTGTTGAAGAACCATGTTGTGTTGCACAGACAATGCAATATTTTACACCGCCAGTCATTTTAAATAGAAATGCATCAAATAAATAAGCACATTTATATATTCCGAGTCAATGGCATTGGCAATCAGTAACACTTTTAAGGCTGTGAAACACTGCATGCAAAGCAGCACAGAGCGCCGCCATGGCGAGCTGTGTGTGTGATGTTATTTTCTCGCCGGCACGTCAGCTTGTGAGAGCTCGCGTGGCGAGATGAAAAATGTCATCTTCAGCCAATGGGCTTGCGCACATAAACCTGCGTGTCAGGATGCGACGTCAAGCCGGTTGTTATGCACGAGCCGATTGGCTGAAGGTGCTGTCATTCATCTGCCTGCACTCAGGTCACACTCTGCACGCAAAGCTCCGTGCCGGACAGCTTTGCGTGCAGTGTGTCAAGGGCTATACAACCATTCTATCAAAATGAGTGTCTTCTTTCTTGGTTTTATAAACCTTTCTGTGCAGTAAAATGACATCTGAACCCATGAACACAATGTTTACCAGTCCTTAGATGTGGTGGCTGCATTAGCTTTTCTTTTCTGGCTAAGAACATTTTCTGCAAGTACAGAAAGAAACACGTTGATCTTGCCAGAAATGTCACTGCCTGTGAGCTGAAATGAAAGCATATTTTTCTGTGTACACTACTAATCCTCCATCATGTAATGGAGAACATCAGACATCTTTGATGTCCAAGCAGGGTGACTACCATGGCTCCCTCCATAGGTACAGTGAGTGAGCATAGCCACCCCAGAACAAGACGTGTGTTTGCAGACATTTTTCTAATTGATATTAACAATACAACACATAGAATTAAACTGTGACTGTGTTGCTAAAATAAATGTTAAATAGTATCCTCTGCAAAGACATAGAATACTCCCCTTTCCTGACACCCTTAGTTGCTAAGGTCTCAAGCTCTTTCTCCGGCAGTATATATAATGTTGCCTTTTTGAGCTGCATCCAGGGTACTCCTCAGCAGTACAAGAGGCCAAAATGACCACAATGAATAATAAAATGTGGTTGTTTGGTGAAAACCAGTTTTAAACAAGGTACCAGGTTATACAAGAAGTCATTTGTGGCATTCTGCACAGTTTGATAATGGCCGTGGTATAATGGTTATTTTCTCCCTTTCTTAGGTCTGGTTTTTCTGAGAATAACTTTGGAACTACTACACTGTCAAGATGGCAGACAAGCTAACGAGAATAGCTATTGTTAATCATGACAAATGTAAGCCAAAGAAGTGTCGTCAAGAGTGCAAGAAAAGTTGCCCTGTTGTACGGATGGGTAAGTGGATAGAAATGTTATTGCACCTCTTAAGCTGCTGATCATTAACACTCATCCTGTCCTTCACCTAATACATTAGTTAGGGTCTGACCATTTTGGAATTACTCTAGGGGGTAGTTACAAGCACTTCTAACTATCGAAAGCACTAATGGCTCTGAAATTTTGCCCTGTCCCTGGCGATTCACTTAGTGAGTGGGTCGGTTCGGCCAAGCACCCAAAGCTACCTCATACGTTTAGGTTGCTGGCACCATTAAGCACTATTTCCTGACGGTTTATCCATGGAAGGGATTAAACTAGGGATGCACAGATACTTTTCGAGTACCAGTGCAGATAATTTTCATGAGAACTACCAGGGTTGCAGCGGTTGACAGCTGCCTCCTAATTTTTGCATTTTTTTCTCTAGTGTAGTCTTGGGGCTCAAAAGTATCGGTACTTGTACTCGTACTTCTACCGAGTACTGTACTTGGTATCTGTGCAACCCCAGATTAAACGCTGGGAAAAGGAAAAAACACTCCACGCTGACTCCTGTGATTTACTGTAAATTAGTATACTAAATGTGAGGTTATAGTCCATCATGGGAGCGAGCTTGGAAACAGAAAAAAAGGGGGGACAGCGCCCATTCCTAGTGTAAATTTTTTTTTTATTATTTAATGGAGTGTGCCCCCCTCCAGAAGGAAGGACAGTGTCGGCACCAATTCAGAGATGATATGAGGATCATTAGCTGAGTGATACACAAATAAGATACAGTTTTGTTAATAGTTAAGGTACTCGAATGCATTTTTAGGGTTTAACTCCTTAGTTTAGTGTCCCTTGATCAGGTGCCACACTTTCCAGCCAAGGCACCCTTTACCTCTTGGGCTTTTAGGCATCAGTCAATTGTTTCCAAGATTTGCTAATCTGCTACTTGGAGGGTTATTCACTAAGCTGCCGAAGGCAGCCGAGTTAAAAACTGAGCCGAACGTTGTACATCGGCTAAAATTTAACCATACATCAGCTAACCTCGGCTGCCTGTGGTCAGCCGAATATGCTTAGCATGTTCGGCTAGGGTCGAAGTGCAGAAGCTGTTCGACTCAGCTGATCCAACATCTGGATCAACTGAGCCGAAGCTCCGGCAGCTCACTCGCTGCTGTTCGCCCCTATTCTGATAGGGGCCGAACAGCAGTGAGTGAATAGCCGAATGCCACCTCCTGAGGTAGTGAACAGAATATAACTAAATTTAAAAAAAGAAAAATGATAAACATTTAAAAAAAAGAAAACCAAATGTTAAAAAAAAAGTAGTCATTAAAAAAAAAAAAAAAAAGATAAACCAGCGTTTAAGTCTGGTAGGAATGTGAGTAGAGACCCCTATTTAAAAAAAAAACAAAAAACCGTGCGGTTTGCCCCAAAGTCATACCAGGCCCTTTTAGGGAGCCTAATTTTAAGGAGGAACCCCACCCCTGAAAATAGTTGCCCCTGGGAAGGCACCTCTTCCCCACAAGCCCTGGGGCGTTGGTTGTGGAGGTCTGCGGGCAGGGGGGCTTATTTGCATCGGGGGTACCCCATTAATAAAGGGGCACTCAGAAGATTCTGACGGGTCCGGGACAAATGAAAACTGGATGGATGTCACGTCCGGCTCCGCCCAGTTGTAGTCATTTAATGATAGCCCAGTGTCCTCAAATAACCTGAGGATTCTGGGCTGTCAATAAAGGACAACTGGGCGGGGCCAGCCGTGACATCACAGCGGACTCTGCCCAGTTGTCACTTGCTGGAAGAATGGTCAGCTTCGCAGACAGTTTTCTCTGCTTCGGCTGTGACTACGGCTCAGCCGAGGCAAAGCATATGCACTTGGCTCGGCTGCTGTACAGGCGATTGTGTGCCGAAGGATCAGCCGAAGCTTACGGCTAGATCCTTCCTGAATAAAGGTGCCCATACACTGCTCGATTCTCGTACGAGAATCGTGGGAAATCCCACGATCGTACGAGAATCGAACAGTGTGAACGAAGACGTGCGACCGTTTCTAATGTCGCACGTCTTTGTCTAAGGAGCATGTTAGAAAACCAGCCGAGAACCGTACGATTTTCGGCTGGTTTGAACAGTGCTCGGGAGACAAATGCTGAACGGGCCGGTGTGCGCACGTGCACACTGCCCGTTCAGCATTGCGGTCATCGGAAGCCCGCCCCACGGGGGCGGGCTTGCGATGATCGAGAGTGCGATCTGCCTGTCCAAGATGGGCAGATCGTACGTTTTTTTTTAATCACTTTACAACCAACGCAAGACTAAGGTCTTGCGATGGTTGTACAGTGTATGGCCACCTTTACTCTCTTGGTCTTCTGTTCACACATTCTCCGAGTTCTAGCAGGTGAATGTTTTAGCCTCATCTGATGCCAGATTTGGGTGTGAGATCTTTCAGGCTGTCCCAATTAGGGCCTTTTCGCAATATGTGTTGGCCATCCCACAGCTGGACTGATGTCTATTGTCCCGAAAGTTTAAAGGTGCCCATACACTGCACGATTATCGTACGATAATCGTATGCGATCGGTTTTTCGTACGATAATCGAGCAGTGTGAACGGAGACGTGCGACCGTTTCTACTGTACGGTCGCACGTCTTCTGTCGAACCAGCATGTTCGAAAACGGTGCTCGGAAGACAAATGCCGAACGGGCCGGTGTGCGCACGCGCACACTGCCCGTTCAACATTGCGGTCATCGGAAGCCCGCCCCTCAGGGGGGCGGTCTTGCGATGATCGAGAGTGCGATCTGCCTGTCCAAGTTAGGCAGATCGTACGTTTTTTAAATCCCTGTACAACCATCGCAAGACTAAGGTCTTGCGATGGTTGTAGAGTGTATGGCCACCTTAAGATTTCTTGTGCCCTTCTATGGACAAGAGAGAAATTTGAGTTTTTTTACTTGCTGTAAAATCCTTTTCTTGGAATCCATTGAGACATTTCCTATACTAAAGCATGCTAGTAGTATGAAGGGGTTATCCTGGGCTGGCCTATAAGTTTATTTTGTTTGCCAGTGTCCAATCCTTTGGCAGGGGACAGTATAAACCAAAGGTTAAAGGCTTCCTGTGCCCCTTGATGAACTCCAATAAAATGATTTGGCACCCGGACCTGTCCTGATGTGCAGTTCAGGTGTGCGTATGACCGCATCCTCTCATAGGGAAGAACAGGCTGCTACACGCAGCACTTGTCCCTCCAGGCAATGGCCTGATAGGGGCCTGCATGCCGCACGGACGTCTACGCCCTGAGTTAAAGCAGTGTGAATGAGGCCTTAGACTGAATGGCAAAGCAGCACACATCACAAAAAGTTGCGGTAATGTGCACTCTAACACAATAGTGCAAAACCAGTGTACAAGATGGTTATTAAAACTGGTTAGTTATATAGTTTAAAAGAGAACTATGGGGTTAGGGTTTTTTCCCCATGGTTCTCCTTAGGGTTACGGGAGGACACAAACTAGCGTCCTCCCGTCACCCTAAACTCAGTATACCGCGAGCTACAGTGAGCGAACGCCGGTATGTGCACGCTCACCTCCCGATCTACTGAGCCGACCTGTAACAGTCTCATTGTCACACATCGGCTAGAACTATGAGGATGAGTGAAAAGCACTCACCTCATAGTTCTCCTGGGCTGGACAAAATTCAAGAGCTGTGTTGCAGCTGGCACCTAGACTTGGCTTATCAGTCATTGGGATACAGCAGACCAATCATGTACATGCCTCGGTTATTGGTGGCAGAGGACTTAAATGTTGATTCATCATTGAGGTAGATACTAGGTTGCATGCTGTTCCATTTCAGCTAGCTATGGCATCTTCCCCTCAATAATACTATTTTGCCAGCACTCCTGGGCTTTTAGAAACCCACCACTCTGAGCTTTCTCAGGTTTGGCTGTATTGGATTCTACCAAAATATAGCTGTGGTTTTCCCATGAGGGCTGCTTGAATTTTCAGTGATTGTACCCAAAAGAAATCATCTGATTTAACTTGTATACCCATAGGTACCCTGGCTAGGCACAGTAGACCTAACCCCTCCCCTGTTATTATTTTTCTCCCGTCTCTCCTTTTGCTATCCTCTGTCCCAGCACTGTACCCCCAAAAAACCCCATATTATATATATTTTTATATTTTTTAGGAAAACTGTGCATTGAGGTCACTGCACAGAGTAAGATTGTATGGATTTCTGAAACTCTCTGCATCGGGTGTGGTATCTGTGTAAAGGTGAGTTTATGTAGCTTTCCCCATGTTTGAGAATGTTTTATGTGTAGGATAAGAACAATCATCTGTAATACTTTTCATAGCTAATTAGTTTAAAGGGAAGCTGTGTAGAAATCAAGTCTCAAATTATCAGCTGGTAGCTGACAACATTGAATATTAGCACTTACCTGTTGCTAAACATTGGTCATGTCGGTCCAGCACCACCCATCATGTCCCAACTTAGATATGCAAAGAACAAATTTCTGCTCTCTGCTCTCTACATGGCAATACTAGGCCTGCTGATAAGTTACTCTGGCGCTAGGCAATGCATTGTGGAATAGGAATAAGGGTGTTTCCTAATCTGCACTACCCAACAAGGGAAGAAACGGCAAAGGTTTCAGGTGACATTGGAATACACTGATGCTGCAATAAAAAGAATGTACTGACAGCATATGCTGACTGAGGATTTTGTTGTGATTTTTGGTTTATCTAAAGATTTGCTTTATTTTTCTTTGTTTTAAAGAAATGTCCCTTTGTAGCCTTGTCCATTGTTAACCTGCCGAGCAACCTGGCAAAGGAAACCACTCACCGATATTGTGCCAATGCCTTTAAGCTACACAGGTAAGAAGCAACGATAAAATGTTTTCTCTGCCATATAAGAGTTGTTGTTGTGCTTTTGTTTGCTTGCAGTGCGATTGCAAACAATGTGCATACCATTTTATTCTGAAGTAAACTTTGTCTGTAAAGCTGTAATGGTGTATTTTATTTTAAATGACGGTATTTTTTTTTTTATTATTCTATCCGATCAATCGAAGTTAATAATCGGCTAACTAATCGATTATGAAAATAATCGTTAGCTGCAGCCCTAGTTAGTTTAATACCGGATAACAGATTACTGTACATGGATTGTCCATTTAGTCTATTTGGTGCAAACTCGCAATACATTTTTGTTTCATAGGTTGCCTACTCCCCGTCCTGGTGAGGTGCTAGGATTGGTTGGCACTAATGGTATTGGGAAATCCACAGCTTTGAAAATTTTGGCTGGAAAGCAAAAACCTAATCTTGGGAAGTATGATGTAAGTGGTCTTTATTATTGTGTCTGATTTTGTGTATTAAATAGAGCATGGTTCAACAAATCCCAAGTCGCCATGGCGACTAGAAATTGCGTCCTGGCACCTGGGCTTTTGTCGGACCATTCACTGTCCCCTGCCGCAGCCTGCGCCCCCTCTGCCGCCGCATCAGCTCTGTTCCTCCCCAATGGGAGCCTGCTGCGGTCTGTGTCCCCCTTCGATCCCAGCTGCTCACCCTACCTGTATCAGCACAGCAGAGGCAGCAAGGATCGGAGCGGACACAGACCACTGCAGCCGGAACCCAGCGGGGAGGAGAAACCCCTGTCAGCCAGATCCGAGCGGGTAATTCCATTTTCCAAAATTACTTGGGAAAGTGAAGTTATCCTTTTAATGTACATTGTGTGTGTGTTAGAGAGCCCTGCTACTTGGCTACCACAATATGGCACACAATGGAATAAGGCAGCACTCAGCGTACACACACACAATTCTCTACACATGCGTTTTGTTTGCATGCAAATGTGTGGGGACTGTAAGGTTGGGTTTAATTTTCTTTTTTTAATCTTTAGGGCTGGTACTGATTAAAATGTTCGATTAATCGCAATTTTTTTTTAATCTTATGGACCCGCTGATCGCCTATATGTGAAACACCCGGTACCGGGTGTTCGCATTGGACGGGTCTTTTCTGCCCGTGCGTGCCCGCTAGGGGGCGCGCGCGAGCAGAAAAAAATTGCCGTCTGGAGACGGCAACCCGCAGATGCAGCAGTGCCGTCCGTCCGTTTTTTTACTACGGGCGGACGGCAAGAGGTTAATTATAACGCACATACAGATCCAACTACATTGGCCTATACACATACAGCAATGAAGTAATAAAATGAACTAGGATTACACTAATCCAGCACGTTATTAATCTCACGTGCCCCACTCAATATGGCCGCCGCTTAAGTGGGACAATAATAACGTGCTGGATTAGTGTGATCCTAGTTCATTTTATTACGTCATTGCTGTGCTGTATGTGTATTGGCCAATGCCTTTGGCTGGCGCTCATGCAGAAAGTTTCTTGAGCAAACTCACCAGCCCAAGTGGCTCAGTCGGCTAACAAAGGGAAGAGGGAGGAGTCCGGTGACGTAATGGACATTGACGTCACCAGACTCCTCCCCCTTCATTAGCCATCACGGACATCGACGTCACCAGACTCCTCCCCCCTTCCCTACGTTAGCATCTTGCAGGAAGAATGGAGAGGCACACACTGCAAGATGCTTGAAGTCCAGTGTGAAGTTTCCACAGTCTGTGTTGATTTGGAGAGCCATGTCATCTGCTGGTGTTGGTCCACTGTGCTTCATTAAGTCCAGGGTCAACGCAGCCGTCTACCAGGAGATTTTGGAGCACTTCATGCTTCCTTCCACAGACGAGCTCTATGGGGATGCTGACTTCATTTTCCAGCAGGACTTGGCACCTGCCCACACTGCCAAAAGCACCAAAAC